AACAGCCGCTTCCCTTCGGCTTTAAGGGGGAGTAAAATTTTGTTTCTAGAGCCTTTGGACAGCTCTTTGGTCTTTGACATGTTAGTAGTTGGATTTCTACTGATTGTATGGGGTGGACAGGTGTCTTTATGCAGCTAACAACCTCAAACAGGTCCATCTAATTTAGGATAATAACTGGAGTGGAGATTAACATTTTGAAGACAGACTGGTCTTTGAAGGTCAGAGTTCTAGCTGATAGAGAGGTGTTTAAATGCTTATTTGCAGAACAGAGGACCCAGTATTCAAGGCCAGACAGAAAGTGGGATAACTCAAAAAGCATTTCTTTAAAACACGGAGTGGAGTAGCAGCTGCTAGGGCATCTAAGGCTGGAACCTCTGCAGAAGAGAAACATAGGTAAGTGAACATGATAACATGTCGGAAGATTATTATCATTGTGAGTCACTATCCATGCCCAGAGAATGACCTAGGATTCAGTCGGTGGGCCAACAAGATGCGGCGGGCGCCGCCCAGAGTGTCCCAGCTGCTGCAGCCCCAGAGAACATGCAGGAGTCCCAAGTCAGGTCAGGGAAACAGATCAGAACAGGAAAAAGTCCAGGAGTCCAAAGACAGTTCAGGCAAACAGATCAGCACATTAACATGCAGGCCCAGTGGCTGAGAGGCAGAACGGGTTAGGATCATGGAATCAAAAACACCAAGGAAAAACACTCTCGCCACTGACTAGAGAGAACAGCACCAGTAATGACTCTGATGACTGGATGCAAGCTCCTGAAATAGAGGCAGGAGCAGGTGGATCAGATGAGCAGTAATTGGAAACCAGGTTAGACAGGTGAAAGAAATGAGTAATTAAGCCAGTCATCAACTCCAAGATCATGGCAGTATCATACAAATAAATAGTTAGAAAAATCATACATTGTGATTTCTGGATTTTTTTTTCTTTGTATATTATGTCTCTCCCAGTGGACATGCACCTATGATGACCATTCCAGACCCCTCCATAATTTCTAAGGGGGAGACCATGCAAAACAGCGAGGTGTTCAAATCCTCACTGTATACACTCTCCTTACCAACAAGGTTTGACAGCTTTGAGCTGGTTTCCAGAAAAAGGAGAAACCTGGCGAAAATATAAACTTTTCTAAAATAAATGAAAAGAACCAACTGAAGAAATTTGGGTTTAAATAAATGCCAAAAAAAAGCAGCGATTGTGACTGAAAGCAACAAGCAGAAGTAAACGCTGCTGTGAGTTTGATGAAGGACACGCTGAGCCCCTCCGTCCACGTCCAGCTGTGGGACAATGTTTGCCTTCAGTGTTTCTGCAAAAACAGAAAGTTGTTGTTGTTTGTTTTTTCTAACTCTTGTCTCTTTCTTCTCAGCTGGGGCCGAACATCAAAGAGCTCTTCCGTCTCATGGAGGACTTTGTGGACGTCATTGGCTTAAGGATGAAAGACTTCCACGACATGTATGAAGTCACCGATAACCTAGGTCAGCCCCCTCTGCATGCAGGATCTCTGTCTGCTCATCACATAGATTTTCCTCTGGCAGAAGGCAGGTTTCTGTCGGGAGAATATCACCTGATCACCATCTGTTTATGCAGAGCCTTCCTTTGCTACCATAGTTCCTTCACAGACAAGCTTCTAACAGCAGTAGATGAAATGATGTGCTGATCCATCTTCATATTTATATAAACACACATAAATTATGGCTCCATTATAAACAGTTTGATGCGATGGATCCTCGTTGGACCGAAGATAAGAAACTTAAGACCTCGGTTATCAAAGTGATGATGATAAAACACTGAGCAGGTGTCATCTCCACCCACCAGATTCAGAGGAGGTCCTCGCTGTTGTTGCTACGGCAGCCAGTATGTATTAAAACAGCCCTGACTGCCGCTTGGGCAGTCGGTGACGTGTCGCTTTATTCCCCCAGGTGGGACGGCAGAGAGCCCGTCTCTGTGTCTCTGCGCCACGCTTGTTTGTTCTGACGATGACCCTCATCAGTCACAGCGTCAGGGAGGCTCAGTTGCATTATTTGCATGTTGCAAACTGAGCTTTAGTGTTACATTTAGTTTTTTTAAGTCAGCATGCGAATGTAAGAACACAAAATGCTTGAACCGGAGACCTCGGTCTCAACGAGTCTATTTTATCTGGTTACATAAAGGGTTGATAAAATCAATCAAAAAGAAATCAGTACAAAGCAGATCAGCCGCT